CAGACCTGCTGAGCTTTTCCAGCAACTTCTGTTTTTGTTTCTGATTTACAGCATCTGCAGTTCTTTTGATTTTTATATAGTATATCCAAAATCTGAGTTGTTGGACCTGCTGTCTCTGTTTTGCAGATTCTGGTTCTGTGCTTGATTCTGATGTGGCTGTAGTACAGTTTGTACTTACAGGGCCTATTGCTTTGAAGTCAGGGAAGAAGTTTGCTACTGTTGCAAGCCTGAGAAGCTTTTGATCTTCTACGTGAACCCTCAGCAAGTCTTCATTGGGCAGGAGGCAGAACAAAATTAATGCAAACACACTTATTGACCTAATATTCAGGCCTAGAGCATTTTCTACTTGTATACCTCATTTATATAGCATGTGTTTCGCCCATTCTGGCAGGAAGAGGGTGCAAAATGGCTGCTAACAGGGAAAATGGTGGCTTGGACATGAATGCTGGGGAAGGAGTTCCAAAAGGTCTTACAGGAAGCAAATTTTGTAGTTGAGGCAAGAGAATGCAACTTCCTTATTAATCTGGAGGAGAACTCCTGTTTATTATGGTCCAATAAAGGAAGATTCTAATTTGACTGGAAGGCTTTTTTTTATCCTTTCCACCAGCTGCTTGTTGTATACATGTTTTCTGTAAGGGTTAATGCAAAAGAAGTTTAAGCATTAAGCTCTACTCAACATGATGATGCCATCAGGATGTGGATGGAGACAACAGTTCTGAATTTATTGTATTAATCTCCTCATAATCTTAACAACAATGTAGACCATGCCAGTGTAACTGATACTTGATTAGTATCCTACAATAAAGTGCAACTAATTTAAGATATGATCCTCTTCTTGATAGACTACCTAGTGGTTTTCCTCTATCACACTAGATCAGTCAGGCCCTGTAGATCGCAACCTAAAAGGGGGATGATGGTAACAAAGTTACCTTACAGTGGCCAAGAGTCTGTCTAACTCATGCTGTATGATGGGCATAGGTGAGGTTTCCTCTTACAACATGGTGCCAGCAGTAGGCATTACTTAATCTTATGACTTCTTGAAATCAAAATATATGATATCTAATGGTCCCCTCTATCTATCCTGTTTCCTCAAAGAATTCTAATCCATTTTTCAGACATGATAATCCCTTCATGAAGCCATTAATCTCTGCTTAATTAGATTGGATGCTGACAATGCCATGTTGCTGGGGCAGTGCCCAGAGTCTGAACAAGGACAAAAATCACAGCCAGCAGCTCCCCAGCATTCGTGGGAATGGCTTGGTAAATCCAGGATTTGGTTACACTTCAACTGTTCTGATCCTTTTATGGGTTCTATGTTCTTAGTCATTGTGCTTGTCCCTTCAAAGTGGTTGGACATGCATAGGGTTTATTCATCAAACGCGGGGATGACAATTGAAAAGCTGCAAGCATCTTTTGCAATACATGGACTTCCAGAAGTGTTGGTCACAGACAAGGGCCATTATTTACCAGTAGGGAATTTGAGTATTTCCTAAAGTCTAATAGCATTTGGCATACAAGGATAGCTCCATACAATCCAATATCCAATGTTCTGCCAGAGAAGGCAGTCCAAACATTTAAGGTAGGCTTAAAAAAAACAGCCTAAAGCTTTACTTGATACCAAACTTTCCTGGTTCCTGTTTGATTATAGGACTATCCCTCATGCAACTACAGCAATAGCTCCAGCAGAGTTGCTGATGGGGACAAGAATCTGCACCGGGTTAAACCTGGTCTTTCCCAGACCTGGGGTGGGGTGGTAGTTAAACAGTGTCAGAACGACAAAGCCGGGCACAAAACTTCTCTAAGCAAGAGAGGCAGTTTACTTCAGGGGATTAAATTTGGTGTTGAAAACATGGGAATGGCCCTGCAGGGGTAAGAGGCCTAGTCAATGCGAGGTCAGGTCCTGTGACGTACAAAGTTTGGGTTGGAAAGGTGGTCCTGACCAAGCACTTGGACCACATGAAAGCTGCAACCTCGCAAACAGAGCAGGACCAACACATACCTGGCCCCTCAGAACATCTGGCAAGGCTGTCAGAACCCATGGGTTCTCCTGCTCCACCTAGCGTTGAAGAAACCGCTAAGGCGAAATGGATGTGGCAGATGCTGCAGCATCAACAATGTCACCTGTGGTCCAGTACATGCTGCCTGTATCCAAGGAACAGTCAGAGAAACTGGACATAGTGCGAACATGCTCCAGGAGAAACTAAACAATGAAGAACAGGCTTACATTCCAGGACTTAGAGCGGGAGGGTTCCATGATTGGAATGATGTCAGCCAGGTGGATCTCATAGAATATGATTTTCCCGATTGGGGCTGAGTGTCATTGGTTCTGTTCACTCTAGAAGCCGGGTCTGAGGTAGCTAAATCAGTGTCATGCACTATACACGTGTAAAGAAAGGGTGACTTGTTGATGGGATACTGGCCTTCGTGGAGTTATTTTATCATAAATTGTCTTTCCTCCTGAACTCCTTTCTCAGTATACTCCAGTCAACTCTGTCCTAATTCCTTTGCAATTTCCCTTAATTAAATTTAGCATAGTTGTTTCCAACCCAAATTTCTTATTCCAAAATTGAATGCAGACAACAGGATTCATTCAACGAAGCTTTTAAAGAGAATGAGAATCATTTATTAGACTGCAGAAGGCAGGTGTCCAGCATTTTAGATATGGATGGTGGGTATCTTCCGTTTTAGCTACAGAAAGCAAAATTCTTCCATTTGGATTGCAGAAACATAGAAAAATCCTCCAAGACAGACAAGTAACATAGCTGCAGAACGGAGTGCTTTTAAAGCAAAGAGAATAAATAAGCGAATTAGAAAGAAATAGCAACAGCAATCATATTGCCCAGAAGACTTAATTTCAGAATTGATCCAAATGGAATGCAGATTTAAAAATCTTGGAGTAAACTATTCTTAACAAACAAAAATACTTCCAAACTAGACAACTAAATTAGAAGCTGAACAAGTAAACACATATTCAAATGGGACTATAGAAGACTATGTTGTAGCTTCCCAAAGCAGAAAAGAAGAGATACTCTTGATGAATTTTTTAAAGCTTTTGATAATTGCTTTACTCTTAAAACAAATGAAACTCTTCAAAGTGCAAGATTTAACAGAAGATTTCAACATCTAGGGAATCCATTGATAATTTCTACAGGTTGGAAAAATCTGACTATAGAGCCATGAAATCAGAATTCATAAGCTTCATGACCACAAGACAGAGCCTTGAAGTGCTATGAACATTTTCAAATTTGTAATTCCAAAATGAGGTTTTTAAAACAGGCTGATGTAGCCAAAAATGGCTGCAGGTGGAAATTAAGTAGTTCTTGGGAAAGAGAGACTCAGGATATCACACATATATGGGAACTTTATGATCCAAACTAGATACATGTTCTGTTTTTTTTTCCCCTTTAAAGAATGTGCAAGGACAGGGGTCAACAAGCCAATTCAACTCTTTTGGAGTGTGGAGTTAACATTCTCACGCCTACCAGCCTGGGTTCAAGTGTTTGCATACTATGAGGTCACAATTGAAGAACTACCCCCTAGTCATTCCTCTGTTGCTGGTAAAGGCTGTCTCAGTCTCAGTACTATAAGTCAGCTAGCCAGCAGCCATTGATAGAAAATAGGACAACAATAGACTCTCTCTGTCACCCTGAATGTTGGAATTCAGTCAGTCAAAAGGAATCTGAGCTATACAATCTCACCTAACCTGCAAAACTGAGGATAGTGAAACTGTTAAACTCCATCATCAATACTGCCAGTAACCTTGACTGTAATAACTGCAACATCAACTATCCTTTGTTTGTAAACAATTCACAGCTGATCTGTACATATTTTTATAAAAACTTTTATTTTTTTGCACTGACCGGATTTCTGTGTTCATGTGTGTTGAGTATGTATTCCTTCTCATGCGTGATAATAATGGAACTCATTCTTTGTTAACTCAAGAAGACAGGTTAAATTGGGTGATTTTAAAGCATAAGTTGGGTGTGGGAGAATAGTGTCCACAAGAGAAGGGGTCTACTTTCAAATTAACCTTGTTGCAACCAATCAAGAAGGTAGCAAGCCAGTTCATCTCTCCTCACCTGCGTAT